CAAAATACCATGCTTACAATTATGTTCTCACTGTTACAGGTAATAATATTATTGTCTGTGTGTGTGCGCAGAAGGGTTCCTAGGTACAGACGTCCCGTTCGGTACAGGCCATACTGAGGATCTTGCTGGAATTTTGGCCTTGCTATTGATTGAGATGATCTTGTTTTGACTGGTGGCCATATTGATGAAAGGAACAGTTGCTGGCTTATAGGCTTAATGCAATTTATATAATTATATGTGTCTGAGTTATATGGATGGTCGTTTTCCTTAGAATTTGTACAATTTTGATTGCCTAAAAAAGCCTAAATCTGTAACATCATCTGCATCGCAGATAGGCTTACTTTATTTTTCCCTTTGGTTAATCATTTTGTGTTTGAACAAATGTTTAGCTTACAGGGATGATATATTTAATTGCTTTATTTCATGCACTTGTTATGTGCTTTCGCTAATTGAGTGTGCAATGAGAAGGTACTCTATTAGGATGAGGGCGTCATGTCATGGGTTCGAATCACTGGAATAGGCTCTTCATATGTAGAGGTAAGATCGTGTACATCGGTCTCATCAAATACCGCAATTGTGAGAATGTTGTGTATTTTGTTTCATATCAAGTTAACTGTGCAATCAACTTGTTACACTACACAGATACCATCCAATTGATATGGCGTACCTTGTGATCCATCTCACCATCTCCCGACATTAATAACTGTATAATGTATATTTGGTAGAGATAAATAAATAAATATATATATATATATAAATGTTATTTGGACGTAATTTAATGCAATCATTAGAATGAAAGTGAGTTTGACATGTGTATATATATATATGTGGTGGGGGGGGGTTATACATGTATACTTCCCATTTGGTAGAAAACATTGTAAAATTCCAAATTGAAATTAATTTTACCCCACGCATCATGATATTCTTGAAATGTCGACAATAAAATATGTATATCATTGTTTAAATTAATTATAATGAGAGTTTAAGTTGACTAAATGATAGACACAACACTAGAGTGAAATTTTATTGTTTCAAAATTTTAGTTCCAAATCTAAAAAGGATTATCTCGTTCTTGTGTGGTGTTGTAGTTTTGAAAATTTCGGAGATCCATATTTAATACAAGATTGAGATAGTTATCGAATATTTTGACTCTCATATATTCAATTTCTTTTAAATTATAACAAAAAAAATTTTGCATTAATGAATTTATTTGTATCATAGACTTTATTTTTCTTGATTCTTTATTTTTTTTTAATTTATCTATTTTAATAAATCTTAGATTTTTAAAAGTATTTTAGGTCAATTTATCCGTATTAATAAAATTTTGATTTCTATCATATGTAACATGAATTTAATTGTATTATAAACTTTATAATATTCTTGTCACCTAATCTAAGTGGGGTTCACCTAGTCTATTTAAAGTTTTATTATTAATTAGTGATACTATATCATCAAGTTAATAATGACATAATATCACAATTGTCTTGAATATTTACTCCGCTATCAAGTTTGGACCCGCAAGACGCGACGATCACGGATCACTGATAATTTCCGAAGAAATTTCCTTGGAATGGCAGGCAGTTGTAATGTAATAGAGAAAAACTTAAAAGGGACTCGCAAAACAGTCCTGCTCTTCACTCCTAATTTCTACAACTCAATCAACAAGTATAATAATGAAGATGAGAATTGAAAATATCTTGGAAAGACATATTAAGGAGAAAAAATTGCAATTCTGTACGGCAATGCCAGACCTTGACACTATAAATAAATAGTGTTGCGAAAATTTCTCGGGAATTAAATCGGGATTGATATTGACACTCGTAAGTAAATAACAAAAAAAAATAACAGTTAGATTAACACCTAAACTATATCTCTAAAACCTCTCAATTTTCAAATATCAGACAAACTTTTTGGTTTCTGATTAAAAAACTTCATCCTCTTAATGATCAAGAGGCCTTCGCCTCTGAAGCCAGCAGCCTGAATCTGTATGTAAATTGGTGAGGTAGTGGACAACACAACTTATCAACGAATTGAATTAAACTAGCCTTTGTTTTGTCGACAAAATCAGTAAATGCTGCCCCCACCTTTATTTATCGACTAATACAACGTGGACTTAAAAAATAGTTTAAATAATTATAATTATTAAATAAGTAATATGTTTTAATAAATATTGAGACTCACAGTGAAATTCATAGTCATAATTATCAAATTTATTTTTTAAATTTTTTATTTATTGCCTGTGTCTGAAGACACAGAATAATAAAAAATGGTAAATAATAAATATATTTGTATTCATATCCAAAATCAAATCACAAATATAAAAGAAAGATAAATGAATTTAAACATCGTTTGTAGTGGGGGTGAGAGGTGGTGGTAGGAGATGATGATGGTTGTGGTGAGTAGCAATGACTGTGGTGACGGTGATAATGACGACAATGGTGGTGGAGGTGGTGGCGGTGGTGGTGATGACGACGGCGGTGGTGGCCGCGAAGGCGACGACGATAGTGGTGGCCGCGGTGGCGATGGCGGTGATGGTAGCCGTGGTGGCGACAACGGCAACGGCAACGGCAGTGGTGGTAGGGTAGTTTCAAATATTAATTTTTTTAAAAAAATATTTATGAGATATAATTTCTAAAATTACTTTTAAAAAGTCACTCCAAACACACCCTTAGTAGCCTATTTTTCCTATTAAATTTAAGGTGTTAATATTAGCTGTTAAATTAACTTTAAAGTAAAATTTAAAGCGATCTCAACCGTGAATGGTAAAAGTCATTTTATTTATCTTTTGAAATTTGAATTGTAAGCTACTTAATTATAAAGACTAGTTATTGTCTGTGCCTGAAGGCACAGAGTAATAAAAAATGTTAAACAATAAACATGTTTGTATTCATAACCAAAATGAAATCACAAACATAGAGAAAAGATCAATGAATTTAAGTATCGGTTTATAGTGGGAATGAGAGGTGGTGGGCGACAGTGATGGTGGTGGTGATGGTGATGGTGGTGGCAGTGGTGGTAGATATAGTGGTAGGACGGTTCAAACAATATTTTTTTTTTTAAAAGTACTTATAAGAAATAATTCTTAAAAATATTTTTAAAAAATCACTTCAAACACATTATTATGACCTTATTTTTTCTATTAAATTTAGGGTATTAATATTAACCGTTAGATTAACTTTAAAATAAAATTTAAAGCGATCTGAATCTCGAAAAATAGAAATTATTTTATTTATTTTTAAAATTTAAATTATAAATTACTTTATCGTATAAGATAATTTTTAAAACCAAGTAATATTGTTTCTATTTGTCATTCCAACCGACCTCTATTTTTCATACCAACCAACTCTTGACTGTCTGATAGAATGTAACCCACCAACCAACTCTTGACTGTCTGACAGGATGTAACCCACCTTTGTTGACTTGTACGATAAAGTTAAAGTAATGTTATTTTGATCTAAAAATTTAATTTAATTTAGTGAGGTAATGATGTGATTTAATATAAATTATTAGATCAATATTAAGTTCTAATATTTGATAGAGTCTATAGTCAATTTAAAGATCACAATAAATTAGGTCAAATTTTTAAATCCCAGCAACGAAAACAACTTCAGCACAATATTTCAATTGATAAGAGCATAAACGAATGAGTTGTGTGTACGCTAACAGAGTAATCGTAAACCCGTAAACAAAAATACCAGGAAATAAGTCGATTGTTAGAAATTCCATTTCTTTCTTAGGTATAACGAGACATTCAGTGACTTATTTCCAATGTAGGATTTTGCAGTGTAATTCCTGTTCTGTCATTTTTTCAGCATTTGCTGAGATGCTTCAATAGCAGCCAAACTGTTTTGGTAATTGCTGAGCTGATTCATGCTTTGACTGACTTGAATCCTGACAGGTCAGGTTGTCTGAATTGCATATTTTCTCATTTTATATCATTATCTATAAATAGCACCACAGGATACGAGTAGATAAAACATATCACCACACACAGATTGTGAACTCTCTCTTTCGTCTTTCCACAATCATGGGTTATTTCATGAGAACTGGAACAACCTTTGTTTACTTTGTTTTTCTCACTGTCACAGTATTTAATAATTGTTTCTATAATGCAAACTCTAAGGTAGTTTGCGTTGACAATGAGAGGTTAGCCCTTCTCCAGTTCAAGCAAGATCTCAGAGACCCTGCAAACCGGCTTTCCTCCTGGGTTGGTGAGAACTGCTGTAAATGGATGGGAGTTATCTGTGATAACGTGACCGGTCGTGTCAGTGAGATTCACCTGCGCAATCCATACATTAAACCTGTTGGTGATTATGAAACTAAAGCTGAATCTGAATCCGAATACGAATCTGAAATTGATGCTTATTGGCGGTCTCAGTTACGTGGTAAAATAAGCCCTGCGTTGCTTAATTTGAATCACCTCGAGCACTTGGACTTGAGCTGCAACCACTTTGAAGGGATTAAAATTCCGGGCTTCATTGGTTCCCTCAAGAACTTGAGATATCTAAACCTTTCTCAGTCAAATTTCGGGGGAGTCATTCCATATCAACTTGGGAATCTCTCGAGGTTGCGTTACCTCAGTCTCGATGTCGCCGGTGCAAGTGCCGAGAACTTGCAATGGCTTTCTGGTCTTCCTTTGTTGAAACACCTGGTTATGAGTGGGGTGAACCTAAGCAAAGCATTTGATTGGTTAAAGGTGACAAACAACCTTCCTTCTTTGGTTGAACTATACTTGTCCAATTGTGAACTTACTTATATCCCTCATCTACCAAATATTAACTTTACTTCACTTGCCATCCTTGATCTTTCAAGTAACAATTTCGAAACTATGCAACCAGGAGGGATTTTTAGTTTGGGTAGTCTAGTTTCCTTAGACCTCAGTTTTTGCCAATTGTATGGTTCAATTCCTGCTGTTCTTCGAAATATGACAAGCCTGAGAGATCTCAATTTGTACTACAATTATTTCAATTCTACTATACCAAACTGGTTGTATGGTTTTAGCCATCTCGAGTTCCTCAATTTTGGGTTCAATTCATTGCAAGGTGAACTATCCAGTGATGTTAAAAACCTTACTTCCCTCGGGAGCATTGACTTGTCATACAATCAACTTGAAGGGACACTACCTAGATCATGGGGAAAGCTTTGCAACTTGAAAAGAACTGATTTCAAACGCAACAAATTTGGTGGAGATCTATCACAAGTTCTCAAGAGTTTTTCTGGGTGTATCTCGAACCGATTGGAATGGTTAAACTTGCGTTTGAATGAGTTTTTGGGTCATTTACCTGATCAACTTGGCCAGTTTAGAAATCTAGTCTACTTTTCTCTATCATATAACTCTATTTCCGGTCCCATTCCAGTGTCCATTGGAAGATTATCATCTCTTACGATATTAGATCTTTCTTTCAATCAGTTGAATGGAACGCTTCCTCAAAGTGTAGGGCAACTTGCAAAGCTGAGAGAGCTGAGAATATCTCGTAATTTGTTGGAGGGTGTTGTGTCTGAGTTCACTTCTCTAATCTCACAACATTAAAACGTCTGTATTTGGATGAAAACATGTTATCTTTTGAAACTAGAGGAGACTGGGTTCCTTCTTTTCGACTTGAACATGTGGACTTGAATTCCTGCAAGCTAGGGTCAGAATTTCCCCCATGGCTTCAATCAGAAAAAGGTTTGAGGTCATTGAACATAGCCAACACAAGAATTTCAGATACCATTCCCACTTGGTTCTCGAGCATATCCTCCCAGTTAGAATTTTTAAATCTCTCACACAATCAAATCCATGGCGATGCTTCAAGCATACTTAGATTGGAGTTTGTCCTGGTGATCGACCTAGGATCCAATAACCTGAATGGCCCATTACCTCGTATTTCCTCCAATATAGTTGTCCTAGATCTTTCCAACAATTCTTTCGCAGGCTCTATTTATCACTTCTTATGTGGTAACAGAGAGAACGAAATCAGACTGCAAGATCTTTTTCTTGACAACAATGTTCTGTCAGGGGAAATTCCTGATTGTTGGATGAATTACAAGTTTTTAGAAGCCGTGAGACTAGAAAACAACAATCTGACTGGAACAATACCGAACTCCTTTGGAAATTTAACTTCCCTGAAATTTTTGCACCTAGGCAAAAACAACCTCTCTGGAAGATTACCAGCTTCCCTACAAAATTGTAGGGAGTTAATGGTTTTCGATCTTGGTAAAAATGGATTCCGGGGAAGCATACCAACATGGGCAGGAAAGCATCTTTCGAATTTGATGGTTCTCAACTTTCGTTCTAACAAGTTTCGTGGTGTTATTCCTCGCGAACTCTGTCATCTTGCGTCACTTCAGATTTTGGACCTTGCACATAACCATCTATTGGGAACTATTCCGAGTTGCTTCAACAATTTCAGTGCCATGGCTGAGAAGAGCAAATCAAATAACCGGATATATTATTCTCCACTAAATGGATTAAATTTGGAAAGAGAATCGTTGGTGATGAAAGGAAGAGAAGTCGAATATAGCACTACTCTTCACCTTGTGACAAGTTTGGATCTTTCCAATAACGATATAGTTGGAGAGATACCAGAGGAACTAACGAGCTTGTTGGGATTGCGATCATTGAATTTGTCAGGAAATTATTTAAGAGGAATGATACCTCGCTACATTGGAGCCATGGGATTACTAGAATCTCTTGATTTCTCTGTGAACCAACTTTCTGGCGAAATTCCTCCAAGCATTTCGAATTTGACCTTCTTGAATCACTTGAACCTGTCCTACAACAATTTGACAGGGAAAATTCCATTAGGCCCTCAACTTCAGACCTTCGAGGAATCCAGTTATTTAGGGAATCTACTCTGTGGACCTCCGCTCACAAAGAGCTGCGACAAAGATGGGGTGAATCGGACAACAAATGTTGAGCATGAAGGTAAAGATAGTGGCGGATTTGAAGAGAACTGGTTCTATTTGAGCATGGCATTTGGTTTTATAGTTGGTTTTGGTGCTGTGATCGGTCCTTTGCTATTCAATCAGTCCTGGAGAATCCTCTATTTCAAGTTCCTGGATAGCATAGGGCACAAGCTTTACGACCTTGTTTGTAAGTAATTTACGCTGATTTTATTTATCAAGTGCAATAAGCTACCACTTTGATCTCACTTGGGTCTTACTCTTGTCTGTTTTAGTATTTTGTGTGATATATAAACGAACATGTTACGTTATTGATGTACCTTATCTGCCATTAATGTAGTTCTTCTGCTCTTGAATTCTCTGTTAAAAAGATCTAGAAAAATGAAAAACTCGAGATCAAGAGATAATTTTGATTCCCATACTCACTCAAAAACATATGAGAATTGTACGTGCTGATTTTCGCACAACAATAGAAGTAAGAACCGATCTTTNTAATTTTGATTCCCATACTCACTCAAAAACATATGAGAATTGTACGTGCTGATTTTCGCACAACAATAGAAGTAAGAACCGATCTTTCCCACGATGAACTGTGGTTCGACAAGACAGTAATTTCGACGGAATGGAAGGTTTGCTTTCAGAATCTCTGATCGCCTCCGGTAGAGTTTCGACCCATCCAAAAGTGGGTTTTAGCAACAAGAAGTAGGTTAAGAGGGACAAAAGAGCCCTAAGAACTGGTGATGAATTGTTTGTTGGGTCGTCTGACCGGTCCTGAAAGACTGAAGGGGAATCCTGAGACACAGAAAAACAGGTTAGAAGGGTGCCGAAGTACTCTCCGGTGTATCCCCTCCGACGATTAAGTCAGTTCTTTGAGAGAAAAGAGAAGAAGAAAGCACTGTGATTTTTTTTGGGAGTTCTTGCGTACCTTTGCAATATGTTTTTGAGGACTATTTATACCTTCAAAAGCTCATCATTACTGATAATATAGCTAATAGGCAATCATTAGAGATAGGACAGTGTGCCCCCTTTCCTTTAGTGGGGAATGCGTTCAGCTTTAACTGCTCGGGGCGCCAAGTAGTTGACGCTTTCCCCTCGGCCTGTCGAGTACTCAATGCGTTTCCCTCGGCAAGGGAGCATTAAATGCCCAGGCATGAGAGCATTTAATACCTTTCACTTTTCAGCCCTTATGCCTTAAATACTGTCTTATCAAGAAAGGGATTCATTAAATGCATACTTGCTCTAGTCATGTGTCAACAGGGGTACTTAGATCTTTTTGCTATTGATTTGATATCAAATTCCACGCGTCCACTCCTCCTTGGTTGTGTGTTCTGCATCCCTGCTCCTCCTGACACTATTGAGCAGAGCATCTTCATGATGATTAGTTTAGTTTGCCTTAGGCTAATCATCAGTCAATCATTATCTTTCGTAGAAACAGAGGAGAGGTTGGATTCAATTTACAGAAGGAACAACTCGGTATCGAGAAACATTTGTCTACCCTGAGGAGTCAAGGTTTTTACCGAACTGAGGACATGTGCTGATTACGTTGATGTGGGGATCCCTCGGCTCCAAGCACTATCTCCTCGACAGAGGGGGTGAGTGTCATCGAGGATACATGGTCATGCCTGGTTAAAATCATAACGATGCCGATAACACGTGTCGCCGATTTATTTTCTCCCAGATATGTCTCATCAAGAATCAGCATTCATCATCGATAGATCTGCCTTATGATGAACAACTCTACCAAACCCAAAGTTTACTATACTTAAAATATTAGTGATGTGTTTGGGTGTGTAGTTTTAGTGTAACATGTTCTCTTTGTTTTTTAGAATAAAACTAATTACTTACAACCAAACCAGGGTGGTTTGGAAAAGTTACTCTCAAAACTCGAATGATTTTGAAAATCTTTCCCAAACTTAGGTAGTTTAAAAATTAAAAAATGTCAGTTAGATTGACGTTTTTAAATAAAAATGTGTTAGATACACAATTTTTAATTTTATAATAAATTGTCAATTAAACTGATATTTTTATAAAACACATTAATCCAACTGACGTGTTACGCGATTTAAAACCAGCGCCCCTGTTAGGAAATACACCCGAAATTCCCAAACCTCTAAGAAACAACAATAAAGAAAACACACGTCAAAGAAAAACAATCACACGCACAAGACAATATTTACGTGGTTCGATAATTTGCCTACGTCCACGAAGTTGCAGGGGTTTCATTATTCTAAAGAACGATTACAGAGAGGGCGGCGGCCGTACAGAATCAAATTAACCCTAATCACCCAAAAGAAACAGGTTTTATATGGCTTACACCAGGCCACAAACAAACAGGCCCAAAAATTTTTCTCGGAGGCGTTGCCCCCAAGCCCTTATTAGCCCAAGTTTTCGCTCCATAGACTAAGTCTCATAAAATTTTTCATTAAAAACCACGTAATATTTTTCGGGTCGGGTCATCATCCGGATCAACATAAAACTAGACTGCACAAAAGCCCAACACGCCCCTTTCCTTCTTCCCTTTTTTGTCTTCTCCCCAAACTCCCCCCATTGGAGAGCATAGGTTGCAAGTTCGGTCGAGACCGGAGACTGGAGACTAGCTAGGAATACCCTAGGATGGGTTGATTTACTGGCGATGCATGCATGCATGCACAAACTCGGCTTCATTTTCTCTCTCATTCTACCTCTTGTCATTCTTCAAATTGCACACTTTGGCAATAATATCTAATTAGGTCTTACTAAGTGAACAGATTATGGTATTTACATAACATATTTGCATGCACCAATGCTTGGCCTTCTTCCCTGGGCAGGTAACTAAAGAAATACAAATTTGAAAAGACGAGTCAATGTATGATGTTCCCTTCGCTGCTGAGTATAGGGAGGATCAAGTATGCTTAATTTTACTATCGTATACAAAGAGACTGCCCTCGACTTCCAGATTACAAAGCAATAACTTTACCGTCACCCTTGTAAACAATTATATATATATATATATATATATATATATATATATATGGAAAAAGATGGGATGCAATTCCACAAGAAGATAAACCAAATGGTATTGAGGTGTTTTGAGTTTAATGGCAATTTTGAGAGTATAATAGTGAAATTGAGGGCCTCATATTTAATATATTGATGAAATATCTAATCTTTGAGGGTGTAAAGTAAAAAATCTTAAATCTTTTGGGTGCAAAATACAATTCCCCCTTATTTGGGAGATTCAATATTATCAATTCTCCAAAAACAAAGCCCTGCTGCATGAATTCAAGGGTAAATCTAAACCAAACTTCATCATATTTCACTCTCTTAAAGGAAATGAAAGCTTATACTAATTGGTAATTGGCAATCAGACACAAACCGATTTTGAATTACATATTTATACAGCGAGCAGTTACCTTTTGCTCTAATCTTTTCCCCTTCTCTCATTCATCATACAATTATTCTTCCTGAAATTTGCATATTTTATGATGTTTATTACCTATTCTACACTTAATGCCGCTGAATTTGCTGGTAAAAATACGTTTTTGGGATGATCCCTCAACAACAATAAATCTCTTCATTTCTGCTGCAACCACTCTCTTCAGCAAATCACCAATGTCACCTAATGCCCAGGCTATGGATATATGGGGGCGTGGATCCTGCGATCAACATCCAAACAGTAAATAAATATTCATGATATACTAGTCGTTTCCAAGTCAATCTCGCATCACCAAGTTATCGTCACCGAATTGGATGATACAATTCCACGACACTCTGATATGACTTAAATTTCTCGTCATATTCAATTTTTTCTTTTAGATTGTATTGTTTGATACCGCGACCAATGTATCTCAAAGCCCTCTACGTCAATGGCCGATACCGCTACCTTTAAACATGTACTTCTCACTTTGAGCATAGGAGAATGTATCAAGTGGACTTGCAAACTGCAATTATTAGAACAAGAAGAGGAAGAATATAAAAAAAATTCAGTAACATAAGCCTAACCTTGTAAAATTCAGGAAGATTATGAAGCTTGTAAATGCGATTAACAGCTTGAATCTGCTTTGTTATCTGGAATCAACAGAACCCAAATAAATCTATGATTTTCACAACACAGTAGTAAAATTTCAAGGCAGGGAAAAAATTTAAGGTTAAAAAAAACTAAATCATGCTACTAGAGGAACAACGAACTTTATAACGTACAGTTCATTGGATGCACACCTAAAATAAGTAAACTTTAAAACCACAGGCCCATATAGGTCAGGACTGATTAGTTAAGAAGAATGCCTCAAAGTTGCCCATAATGTCTCCATGACATTCAGAAGTATGATGAAACAAAATTCCTAGTGATGATAACCCAAAAATGGTTTCAGTTATTAACAGAAAGCTAGCCAAGTAAATGAACCGTTACGAGGTCAGATGACGAGGCCAGTCTCCCGACCTTGAAGTCAAGCATTAGTCCATGGAAAGAAACCCTGGCCATTGACTTCAGGAGGAAATGCCCAAGTCATCCCATTGGAGTCTCAAGAGGAATCAATATCACTAGCTCGAGACAATTGACTAAACTAAGCTCCCTGAATGCATAAGCTAACCGTAAAATGAGAGCTCATCCTGGAGCACAACCAAGAGATAACGAACTCTTCTAGAGATGCACGAGATCCCCACATGTCCAGGCTGGAAGGCATGTCACGCTATCATCTCAGCCCTTTCTAGAAGGCTACATCATACCTAGGAAATATAGCCTCTAACGGCCTCGGGAATATAAGCTCTAATGGTCAAATATTCCCTCAATGAAATCCTAACAAACCAGAAACCACTTGATCATGACAGCGCTTCTCTAGCAGATATAAATACCAAAGCCCTTTTTATGTAAAGGCATTGAACACATTGTAACAAAATCACCTTCTTCTCCGAGTAATATATATTACCCAAAGAATAAGAGACTCCATTAGAGTGGATTAGTCAGCCTTCATAAATAGTGAACCATTATAACCCCTGTGTTCTTGTTTATTTTCTAGCTCGGTTTTCCTTTCTGATTTTATTGTTGCATCAAGTAGAGCCGTAAGGCTCCATCTTGGGGATCATCTCCTCTGTCATTCACCCATGAAACCAATACCCATAAGCCTTGAACGCTTCAGGTCAAGCACTTCCCTGACATCTCAAGTTCGAACACCGTCACCTAGAATTTTGTGAAATTTTAGCAACCTACAAAGGTTCAATGGATGGATTAATCTTGTTAAACAAATGTTAATAGATTCATCTAGGTGAATAAGATATATCATTTACATTTGGTACATTAATACATTCTGCCCAATCTCTTCCAGTGGTCAAACTTAACTGCATCTCTCTTTCCAAGCACACGAGGACATAATATAAGATAGGAAAAAAAACCCTTGAATTTTAAATTTATCGTTGCATTCTAAGACCATAAGGCTTCCAACATGTTCTTCAATTTGACTTAGTAGCGATATGTAATCTTGTCTGGATGCATGAAAACATAATAATACCTATACTTTACATTCCACCGACAGTACAAGCATAAACTAGTTATTAAACTACGGGTAATTTATACCTGAAGACACGGTGCAACGTAAACTAACAGTTTAATTTGAATATTCAACTTCCTACCTAATTTAGATATTCAATTCTTGAGAGGAATGTTGGTGGCCGTTAGATAAGTCTATTTGAGATCGTCGGATGGGCTTATTGAAGTATGTCCTATTTTATATTATAGATTGTGATTTTGCCTCTTCCTTACCCACATGAAAAGCCACACTAAAAATGCAGAGAGAATAGCAGTAGACTAAAAATTTTATATTTTAACCCAAGATAATAAAACTGCTGAACAATAGAACAAGCTAGTCCAGAAAGAATGCTGCTGAACATACCTCAGCTAACCCTCCTGCTGTAACTTCTATCGAAAGAAAGGTGCGTGTGCGATCATCATTGACAAAAACCTCCCACTTATTGAAGTCAATCCAATATCTGTTTTCGTTAAAAGAATGGAGGAAAAAAATAGAGAAAAGAAATAACAAGAGAAAAGGATTAAATCCAATTCTATGAAAATCTGGCGTAGGAAGGTTAAAACATCATGCTTAGCAACGTGTTAGAATGCATAAACAGAAAATGATGCACCGACCGACTATGAGTCTGAAACTTCTGGCGAAGCATAGCCAGAATGGAGTCTTTTTGATGTACTCTTATTGGTACAGTTCTCCCCAAACTTATGTGGAATTCCCTCTCGAAGGCAACTTGTTCAAGCTTTTGATCGTCCCTCAGCAGATTATTCAGTGGGACATCAGCATTGACAACATGAAGACCAGGTACAAGAGGCGTGACCCTCTTCAAAAACTGGGCCAGCTCCTTCTTTGTTGCTGGTGGAATATTGACTATAACATACAAGTTGATTGATTACTTTTTTCATACTAGTCTAAGCAAAAGATAGTACAATTTGCACTGGGAAAATTTATGATAAGATATACTGTAAAAAGATCTAACTACAAAGCTCAGCCAAGAAAACAAAGTCATCAATTCGTTACAAACTCAAACTGGCTAGTCAAAGGCATAAGTTCTAACATCTACCTAAAAAGAGTCAAATTGGTGAACAAGTCGAATCTAAAGAATCAAACAAACATCTGCCTACCCTTTTTAAGCTTTAGGAATCCGATGATCCCCAAACCTCATCATCATGCCATATTAATGCCAGTGATTGTTAATACCCATTTCACCATTTAATCAGATGGGAAGTACAGCTACAAGTACCTCTCTATAATGTACGGAAATGCCAGTAATTCCCAATACCTGGGATATATACATGTAATGCATAGTTTCCCTCGCCATGAGGAAAGCTCCGAACCCGACTAGCCATACCATGTTCCAAATAATCGAATGTACCTACAGCATCAAAACAACAAAAAATTGGTGGGCATAAATCTCTAAAATAAATATATCAACACAAGTATTGTCTGTATAATTGTGTGTGTATATAAAGAGAGTAAAATTAGTCACCAAGGGAATTGGGAGGGTTGAGGAGGGAGAGAAGAGGCGGAGGGAGAAGGTTCGATGGTTGGGTGGGATCGGTATTGGAGGGTGGTGGAGGGGTTCGATCGGAGTCTGGATCTGAGTCTAAGTCAGAGTAAGTGTCCCCGTACGAGGTTCTCAGGGCCTCCATTTTCTCTCTCTTCCCTCTATCTTCTTGCGCTTACAATTGACCATATGCCCGTAGCTCCGGCTCGAGTCCAATACAGTAGCGCTTCGCCGCTTGAACTCCTACGACACTACGACACGGACGAGTAGAAAGCAAAATCAAGGACTAAATAGAAAACTGGTTTATGGGTTTTGATGCGGAAAATATTCAAAATCCTAATTTTATAGTCTCAAAAATTAAAATTTTTAATGTACTACAAGCGCAGCAATGTGATTTTTTTTGTTTTTTTTTTATTTTTTGGTCAAAGTCAAGCAAAAAACTAACATTAAGTTCACATTATACCATTTTTGATATATCGTGTAATATAAAAAATTTAATTTTTAAAAGTACAAAATAAAGAAGGAGAACTACACTTAAATCCCTGAAGTTTGTCACTTAATCACTTCGATCTCCTGACATTTAAAATATTACAAACAGACTCTCTAAGATTTATACGCGCTTAATACTTAGACCCTTTAAATTTAAAATATTATACTTAGACTAAAAATACTCTAATAAAAGATAAAATATCAAATATTTTAAATTTTATAATCAAAAATCATGTTCTATTCTATCATTTATTGAAATAAAATCAAAAATAAAAATTTAATTTTTTCTTAAAAAATCGTAATTAATTTATAATTATATTGTCAATTGGAATTTAATTTGGTCGTTTAAACGACTAAATTAATATACCAAACTATCCTAATTAAAGTTAAAAGATATTGTGTCTGTCACAGTTTGACCCATTGTTTAATTTTTTTAGTTTTATTCTAATAAATAGTATAATTATGTACTAATTATGATTTTTTTTAAAAAATTAAATTTTGATTTTTGATTTTATTTTAACAAATAACATAATATAACATGAATTTTGGATGTAAAATTCATGTTCTATTATGAATGACTTAGACCTCTTATTTGATTTTTTAGTTTTATTCCAATAGATAATATAATTGTATACTAATTATGATTTTTTAAGAAAAAAATAAAAATAAAATTTTAGTTTTAGTTTTATTTTAATAAATGATACAATATAACATGATTTTTTGTTATAAAGTTTAAAATATTTAATATTCTATATTTAATTGGAGTATTTTGGGTATAAATATAATATTTTAAACTTAAGGGGTTTAAGTATTATATACCTACAAACTTTAGGAAAGTCTAAGTACAATTTATTAATCGATATATTTACAATAGGGGTTTAAGTGTTATACACATATAAATTTCAGGGGGTCTGTGTGTAATATTTTAAATATCTGGGAGTCTTGATATAATTCTCTCAAATAAAAATTTTAAAATCTTTCAAAATGCAAAGTACAATTTGCCCTTTGTCAAATTGGTTTTTAATGTTTTAAACTTGATAATTTGATCCTTAATTGTTTTCACATTATATTTAAGTAGTTTAATTTTTAATTTCTGTTTAAAATATTGGCAAATCTACTCCACATGTATAAGAATGACCCAGATTATTTACATTGAAAACACACTTTTTGTAAACACATTTTTGACATTTTAAAAACTTGAATATATACCTATAATTCCACGGAAATTAATACGATTTAGAAACTATGTTCAAAAGAATAGCATTGAAAACATGAAGGAAATAAAAAGTCTCAAGTTGTATCATAACTAGAGGCTGAAAGTCTCATCCTCTTTCGGTGGTCACGTGTTTAAACCTGCTTGATCAAATATTGTTAAGGATTCAATGTTTAACTTGTTCTCGATGATGATGTGGTGACGGACTCAATCATCTCAAGTCAGCAACTATTGTTCAAACTAAACATTCTATCGTAGATAGAGACCTCAAGATAATATTATGAGGAGGTCGTTACGCTTGATTACCCTAAACAACCTTTTTACCTATAAAAAAAAAACAAANCGTAGATAGAGACCTCAAGATAATATTATGAGGAGGTCGTTACGCTTGATTACCCTAAACAACCTTTTTACCTATAAAAAAAAAACAAATATATGTAAATGATAGTAGGATGTGCCAATTAGCTTGCATTAAATTGATATACCACATGCGACACACATGATTTGAAACAATTAAATTTTTATGGCCCAATATAAAATTAATAAATAATTTTAGGAAATGAAGTGATATTTTGAAATTTTTATTGACGAATACCCAAATCAAGTTTTGTCATTAGGGTCACATTTTGAATTCCTCAGGGTGGAAAGTAACACTTTTAATAATTCAAGACAGTAAAGTGGAACTTTAAAAAAAAAAAAAAATCATCAACAACATGACATCAACCCACTTTTTTCTCAAAAAATTTAATTACTTGAAATAAATAGGGGTAAAAGTTAGCCACACCACCTCTAAATAAATGCGAGGACAAAACTAATGACCAAAACTTTTAAGCCCGTTTGATTTGTACCTCATAAACTATTTTTCTGTCTTTGAAAATAATTTTTTAAAGAAAAATTCTTTGATTAATTTTTTTTTTGTTTTTTTTTTAAAAAAAATTAAAAACAAAAAGTAGGTAAATTTAGAGATCAAATTATGACTGTTTTCTGTATATTTAAAAAAAAAAATTTAGATATTTAAAATCACTACCACCACCACCACCACGTTTAAATGATTTATTAAGGGATAAAAGTAGTGTTTTAAAATTTGCCCAGCCCGGCCCAGTGGGTTGACCCGGTGAACCGATGCCTAAATCGGGTCGGGTCACTAATTTGTATCGTTTATGCACCGAACCCGTTTGAAACCCACTGAAACTAAATCATTCTCACCCGANGTCACTAATTTGTATCGTTTATGCACCGAACCCGTTTGAAACCCACTGAAACTAAATCATTCTCACCCGAATGATTTTAATCAAATCGGACGGGTTAGTTATATTTATATAAAATGCTAAGTTTTTGACATTTTGCCCTAAATCAACACTCCAGAGTCTCTCACTCGGTCTGTTCATCAAGTCGAACGAAAAACAATGAAGACTAGTCAAGCCAACCTCTGCCTCTGCTCTTCGCAACGATCGATCAGCCGTTGTGAGCCTGCTCCGATCTTTGTTCTATGCGAGTCTGCTACACAACGACAACCTTTTCTTTTCGAGAGCCCTAAATCAATAGTTTTTTCTCTCTATCTCTTCGACTCCATCGATAACCATTGACGACAGGTACACTACTCTCTCTCTATCATTCTCTCTCCCCCTCTCTCGCTGTTGGTTTTTGATGGGCCAAGTCCAAGGGTCCACCCATGTTATAAGCCTAATCCGAGCTAAAGGCCCAATTTCAAGAGATCTAGCTAGTCAAGCCTAAAAGAGTCTACACCGGAATAATCTTATCAAGATCAAGGAGCTACATCAGCAAGGGAGCATGCACAGTCATCTAAGAGCCTCCTCTACCACCTTGGAGTAGCCTCACCCTCATCACCAAAGGAGCATCCAAGAGCCTCAGTCAACCTCCTTANCCTCCTCTACCACCTTGGAGTAGCCTCACCCTCATCACCAAAGGAGCATCCAGGAGCCTCAGTCAACCTCCTTAATCCTTGATCAAGTCCTTTGGAGAGCACACCAACCGTCACACCTCGCCCGTTGAGAAGATGATAGGTCACCCTAGTTACTATAAAACGATCCTAAGTCATACTGACCGTCAGACTAGTAATTCAATTACTATACTAAGCTACTATAAAATGTAAGCCCATCAACACTTGGGGGGCATCAGACTCATTTGAGCATAATTCTCTCCTCCCCTCTCAAAGCTTGTAATCATGTGTTCTCCCTCCACATCGGAGATAATAAAATTCCGGCGAACCTAGTCATTCAAAGTGGACGTAGGTCGTATTGACCGAACCACTATAAATCATGTCTTCTCTCTCCTTCTACTTACTGCTTTTTATACTACAACTTGACATGTGGTGTGCAAACTAATTTATGCATCATCAGTTTGGCGCCGTCTGTGGGAACGACAGAATTCTCACCTAACCATTTTCCTTTGCTCAATCAAAGTCAATCACCACAAGAACCATGAGTCAGCAGGAAGACAGTCTATGAGAAAATGACGTGACTCCTCCACTTGTTAATCCCGTCCCAAATGCACAACAGATACTGGTCACGATGCAGCAGCTCATAGCCCAAAACCAACAGATCCTACAATTGTTGCTCGGGCAACAAAGAGGAGCACAACCTGGACCTCAAGCCAGGGGAGCTCCACTCCCTGGTCATCAAGGAGCTCCTCACCCAGGCGCCCCACCTTTGGGAGTTCCCTTGGGCGCCCTACATAGGGGGCCCCACCGTGAGGGACCTCCTCCTCCGACACCTGTTCCTGTTCCCCATGGTGGAGACCCTCCTCTCCTAAAGGATGAGGGGGACAACCAAAGCATGGAGCATGGGAGTCGTGTCCGTGATAATTCCAGAGGACCTCCTTCCAATCGGTGGAACGAAAAAATTTAAGTGGTTCAAAATCAGTTAGGTGATGTCTTCAACGTCATGAAGGCGCAAGGCCCCGAGACAGTGGATTATCTTGTAAGTCGAACCGACACACTTTTCAAACCCGACGTGGCGAACTACCCACTCCCTCAAAAATTCAAGATGTCATCTGTTGAGACCTTTGACGGTACGAAAGATCCTCTAGACCACCTTGAAACTTTTAAAATTTTGATGCAACTGCACAACGTCCCTGACGAAATCATATGCAGAGCATTCGTAACCACCTTAATGGGGTCCGCTTGGCAATGGTTTGTCAAACTCTCCTCAGCCTCTATTGGCACATTTGCTAAACTGAGCAGGTCTTTTGTGTCACACTTTATTGGAGGGCGGTGCCACCCAAAACCTGTCACCCACCTGCTCAGCATAAAGCAGGAACGAGACGAGAGCTTAAGGAACTACCTCACTCATTTTAATGAGGAGGTCCTTCAGGTTGAGGAGCCTGATGATAAGGTCAGCATGACTGCCTTCCTTGGAGGCCTTCGGTCGTCAAGCTTCCTTTTCTCGGTGATGAAACGCCCACCGAAGAGCATGCCAGAACTACTAGCGAAGGCTCAAAAATATATGAATGCTGAGGACATTATAAGAGCCAAGAGAGGTGAGTCATCCAGAGCTGGGGAAAAAAGAAAGGAAAGAGACAGGGATGACAAGAAGAAGAATAATAACAAGCGCAACAGCAAGACGGAAAGGGTGCATGCCA